GTATGCTTCGAAATTCGAAATATTCTTTTTGGTCAAGTTTTCCCGGAAAAATTGACGATCCATGCGATGCCGGTCATTGGTGGAGCTTCAAATGGAACGCGTACACCTTCAACTTGCGGAAAGTGTGTATTTCTGTATGTGATGGCCATGCTGGGTTGGCCACCACATAAATCGTAGGTTCATAGATCATCGTAGACTCATCTACTACGAGCCTCCATGTTGTGTTACTGTTTGACATCTCATATCCAGCACACCACAGTCAAAACGGCTCGGATTGGGTCAGCCAAGCTTGGCCCACAATGTTCCAAGCAGATCAATCTCGAAGCTGTCCCGCCAGGGGAATATCGTTCCGGGTACGAGAGTCCGGTGCTCCCGCTCCGTCAGATTGATTGCGTTTGGCTCGTTCGAGACTGAGGTTGCGTGGTCCACATGTCAAAGCCCAGTTTAATTTCCTCTCAACACCGCGGAAGGTATGTAACAGTTTCAGCCGGCCGGTCAGGATGGGGCCCTTCTCCTGGATCGTCCCGCCACGCCGCCTATCATGAGAAAGACCATCTTCTCAATGTGTCGCGGACCCAAAGCCGTTATCACCGAAGTAGCGATCAGGGGGAGTTGGTGTTGGGCATGTTAGAGGCAAAGTTTCGTATGGTTTTCATCGCCAGGGGTAAGTTCCGCCGTCACGGATCAGTATTGTCACAGCTGAACTGATCGTCCCGTGTTGCTGAGATATTTTCCATTCGGGGAATGTATCCTCGTTGACTCGGGCTCTGTCACGTGTCCAGCACAATTAAGCAGATGTCTGTGAGGCTGTAGGCAGTTAGTACGATGTCATAGTACGATATCATATCTATGACGGATGGTGTTGTTCCGGAGAATCCATCGTGATATAGCGCGTGGAACGTGCATGCTGAAGTCAGAGTAGGGTAGACTCTTTGTACTTAGTCGAATGTACTTAGTAAAAGTGAAAACAAAAGAAGAGGATTAATGAACTCAGCAAGGCAAACCCTTTTTGAAGGGTCAACAGCGACAGAGCTCCTTAAATGTGATATGCCAAGACCATTAGACCAACGCTCGCCATCGCTCGCAATTGTTCGCCATCGATAGCTATGATCACCTCACCAAGCCATGACCGATTAGGAAGGCCCTCCTTAAAATGGGGACAGGGCTGAACATTACAATCTAATCTATGCTTAATGCCTCTTGACCCATTAAGCCAAGTTTGCGCATTCCGTGACCCGTCTCCGCCAGGCATCCACCGACGGCAGTGTTTTCGGCAGTCAGTGGCAGCACAGCTATATCCCGAACCATGAACCAGGAACTCCCTTGATGCTGGCGGAAGAGAATACGAGGGAAAGGCTTGGCACTAACCCATCACACCCTCGTGGACGTTATATCAAAGCTTCACATATGTCTCAGATCTAATATACCCGAGCACTTGTAATGGGCTAGATCAGTACCATAAATATCACTACTACTAGATTTTCAGGAAAGGAAAAAGACACATCTTGTTTGGTCACTGTGGATCATCATAGGTTTTTGCCTACCTACGGAGTACATAGCTTCACTTTGGACATTCGGGAGCCGCGTCCTTGACTGCAAGGCCTCGTTGCTCGCAAAATACACATGGGTGACAAAGACAATTCATATTCACTATCCCACACTGGTTGCATCCAAAGCGAGGTTTATCATAGGCATCCTGAAGCTTAAATGCTTGTAAGATACATGGTAGGAATGGGAGAGAGAAAGAGAGGAGAAGGAAAAGAAGGTCTACTGCAGCCCTGGAGAAAGACAGCCATGGGTAAAAATAGAACTAACTAGAAGAATCTAGGACGGCTTCTGTGGGTTTCGCGTGCGAAAGAAAACAATGTATACTGCCCGGAGAATATGCCGTTTACCATATAAACCTCGGAATAAAGTAAAGACGCGTGGTGTGAAAAGTACAATGAACAGATAGACTAGAGAGAGAACTTCATGCAGCATACTGGCCTGCCCTACGATTTCGGCATTGGCCCGTAAGTGGTAGCATGAACTGTGTCGATGATTTGATATCTCCAGAATAATCCCTCCTAATATGAACATGAACAGCACTAATATTGTCTGAAAGCCACCGATACACCTGAAACTCCATGCAAATGACTGTTTTGATTTGATTTGTCCAATGCAGTCGGGTCCGCAATCGATAAGGGTCCCCATATCGTCCCCGGAATCCGAGTATCAAGCCTGTCTCCTACTCCAACTTATCCAGGTGTTCCAATCGCGTGAGAACAACCTGCTTGCTTGTCTCTTGAATCTCGCCTGCGAGAAAGACTTCGTCCAGGATAGCGTAGACCTATAAATCCGGCACACGTGGTCAGTATCACGTCTCCTGCAACTCCGATCCCACGCCAGCCCCGGTTCACGCCGAGTAGTGCATGTTCGGCGATTTGCACGCACCTTGTAGAAATTGAAGACCAAATCCAGCTCACAGACATTACCAAAGAATTGGTCCAGCACTTCGACAAAGAAATGGATTGCTTCGAGATAGGCTAGTTCGTTGTCATTCGCGTCTACGCAGACGCAAAAGAACAAGCCTGCATATCTTCGGTAGACGACCTTGGTACTCCGACGGAACTCAACAAAGTTGGACTGGTATTTCTGGTCTCGGGGAGCGACGAGGCGATGGACCTATACGGTTGTCGGTGGTTAGTTGGATGCGGAATCTCGGAGCAAGTGCGGGTGCGGGTGGTATTGCATGGACGAACCTCGCCTTTCAGTTTGACTTTTTCTTCATCCTGTGAGTTGGTGTCAGTTCAAAGTCCCAATTATGTATCGACGGATGGGTTCTGGCAACACTCACACTGTACGGTGAATACCATTTCGCCAGGCGCGTTTTCCCCCTATACCGTCATTAGCGTCTGTAATCGAAAATGACCGGGGTGGACAGCCACTCACTGGCGATTCTGAACCAGGATAAATGAGAGGACCATTGCGATAGAAGGCCAGGGTGTTACCTGGTCAGCATTTATGAAACCACTCGGGGAGTGTTGCGACAGGCTTTGGATGGTCTCCGTTGATCCCGTTATCGAAGCTCCCCTCCCATATTGCCCGGGTTCACCGCCTATATCGGATTATATAGAAATGCAGGTGCAGTAGAAGCGCATATTGGAGAATTATAGGGGATTATTCTACTAAATCTTCAAACAATCTTGGTTCCCATGAGATATCCAATACATCAACTGAACTAGTATAACAATATTTGCAAAACATAGAGTATCAACAGACATAAAGCGTAGAATTCGTTAAAAGCTCCCATCACAGCTCGGTGTAACTGTAACAACGAGGCAACGAGTGACACTGCGTAGTGTCGGAACAAATTGACCTGATTTGCCATGTTCCATAGCACTCAGCCACAGTTCTCACCCCGAGCTCATCCGATTCCAAAACCTCGTCAGACGAGTCTAGAAATAAAGCATTAGCAACCAGGTAGTTGTAGCTGTAGCAGTGAGACTGGAAGGAAGTCCGCCACCCCCCTAAAAAGGAAGCAGAAGCCAATAACCAGAAAATGAAAGAATTGAGCCACATACCGTATAGCTCTGCGGACTAGTTGGCTCTGTAATACTATTTCCCTTCTGGCTCTGAGCCTGACTCTGCCGCTGAGTCTGGCACTCAACCTCAGATTCCTCCTCAGACTCGTAATCCTCCTCGTCCTCAGAATCAGGATACCACCGTTCAGGATCCCCATTGTAAACAAGATACCATCCAATCTTCTCACCAGGGGCTAGTCGATCGCGCAATTCCTCCAACGCTGCCGTCTGGTCATCCGTCAACCCAGATCCCTGTTCAACACAATCTTCAATATTCTCTCCGCCACTACCACCACTCCCATCCTCTGGAATCTCCAGAACCCGCGTTGAAATATACGCATGGTCCTGACTGACCGTGCCACTCGTCTCGTCGGCGGGGTCATACTGCTCGATAAACGATAGCTCCGGCAGCCGATTCACGAGGTCCGCTTGTGTTTTGTGGAAGGATTCTGCGATGAGCTCGGTCGTCAGCGGTTGCTGGATGTATTCCGCTGCTGCTTCTTCCAGGTTGTGGAGTACGATGTATACGCGGATCCCCGTGAACCCGGCGCGGGGCCAGCGGAAGCCGTGGAGCATATAGACCGGCATAGTGGTTGGCCTTTTTTTTGCCCTTTCTTTTGGGGCCGTTTTCGGTAGTTCGGGGGCACTGTCACAGTGTCTAGCGACCGCTAGCTGGGGAGGACGTTCGGATTTGCAGGGGATTCGGAGTTCATATTATGTCTGTGTCATGGCTCGTGGTTTTTCGGGACGGGTGGTGTATCGAGTGCGATTGGGTTTGGCGGGTCCCGTGCGTAGTTCCAATGGGGTTTCGATTTGTACTGCCTTAATATACCTCCAATATTGGATGGAATTCGATATTAAGGCAATATATATAATTAGGTTGTTTCATTAGATTTTAGGTGATAGCTGGAAGCCCACAGTTCTGGAGAAAAGGGTCGTGCCTTGCTTCTATCACGTGTCATATATTATGTAGTTCGTCGGCCTTGTAGATCGACTACATGCAGTACGGAGTACAGGTTCTTAGCTTCTATTACACTCGATTAAAACATTGTCATGGATCTTCTTTAAGGTGTAAGCTAGAGAGAGGAAAAAAAGAAATGTGTTAATTCTAGTGTAACGTTATCTTGGATTCATTTGGCCTCAACCTTGAAAGTACGGAGTCTCCAACTTCGGAGTTCCGCACAGAATATGATAGGTCATATTCTGTGCGGAACCACCTGGTCTGATTTAGAACCCGCTATTTCACGGATAGCCAGTCAACTGAAATTAATGGGAATCGTTTAAAATGAGATGTGATGCATTATGCGGGGCCACAGCCAAGACATTCGACCTAGTGAACCCCTGCCCAAGCCACCGGGAAGGAAACCGACATGAAAAACGACTCAAATCAAGACGTTGAGTACCGAGTTCTGGATATTGAGATACTGAGCCTCTCAATCATGGTCTCCTCTTCAAATCCGCAAATCTTCGCGTCAGTTCATCCAGCTCGGGTATCCCATTGTTGTTACCCTTGCTCTTAGACGTAGTGTCCTCCTTTGGGACAGCAGCGGCTTTGCCTTCTGTACCGGGAAGCTTGACTCTGGGATTGGGATTGTCCGTTCTGGGAGCTGGCGGCGCAACGCTAACAGGACTTCGGCCCGAAGCGAGTCCACGTGGAGGCGTAGCTTTAGTCAATTCACTGGCATCCGAAGCACGCCTCGCCTCAGCGGGGTTCGGCCTCAATCCTGAGTCTCCTTGCTGCTTGCCAGGAGTTTGTGGCAATTGGGGTTCCTCTGCGTCACCATCACCACCATCACCAAGATCATCCACAAATTCTGGCGCACTTCCTAGCTCTTCTTCGGCTCCATGCCATTCAACGCCATATGCGTTCGCAATTTCTCGCAGATAACTCTCAACGAGTTCCTGTCCTGGCGGACGCACACGCAATCCCTTGAGAAGCCGATCCGGAACCTTGACCGTATCGACCTTATTATCTTGTGCTAGAGTCATAAACTCCCTTCCCGTATCGCTCGCCCAGCATAGTACGAAGCATAGTGAATTCGCGCACCTCGTGCGGAAAACGATGCCACGCGTAGAAGACCACCGTAGCAGCCTCATCGATCGCAGTATCCATGTATGGATTATCTTCATCCGCAAGCCCATCACCAGAGTCATCCGCCGCACCAGATGCCGTAATGGGCGCAGCCCGCTCAGCCTCCTTCTTTTGCGCTCCTCCTCCTAACCAAGAGAACCCGAATCGCGAGCCAGTGCTTTCCCCAGCGCCCTTAACACCTGCGGTAGTTGATACTGTAGCACCAGCTTGTTCCTGGGTGCGTTTCTTAAGCAGTTCCTTGGCGCGAAGTCTAGCACGTGTCCCCTGGTCGCTAAAGGCCAACTGATCCAACACATTTGCGCGCGCCAGCAGTAGCTCACAGTAGAGCTCAACCATCTCCATTACCTCCACTGCAATATCTGTTGCGATGACATTTTCGACTCGGATGCGCGCTGATGCATCGCGGCCTTCGCTGAGGAGCTGGGAGAGTTCGCGGCGTTGGACGACTGAGGAGGCTGTGTCTTTCTTTTGTAGGAGACGTAGACGAGGGATAAGGAGGCGGAGGTTAGAAACTAGTCTGGTCTTTGATTCCATTGTGTTAGTTTAGTTTCTGTATCGGACGCGTATGAGAGTTGCAGGGCAGGCAGGCGTTGTATAGGCAGTGCGGGGTAGGCTTGAGAGCTCTAGGTAACGAAGTTTTGGGGGCAGGCGCTCCGATCATGGAATACGTATGCAAAATGGTACAGGAAAAACAATAGTATGTCATAGTAGCTTACCGTTTGAGCCGAGGGAGGCATTTTGGCGTGAGAAGTTGTTAGAAGAGAAGATGTGAGGGGGGAAATGGAAGCCGGGGCCGAGAAACCTTGGGGTCGATCACCACTTTATCGGTTTGACCCTTTGTTTTTTTGTTTTCTCACTTTCGAAACTTGAAGAAATTCGACAAAAATCAAACAATGGAATGATGGCATGATGGCATGCTAATTAGGCATTTAGAGTGTATTCGGTGTTCTCGGAGTTTGGGGTATTCTGAGTGCCCGTCTCATAGCTTTGATATCAGCTTCTTGCTTCCTAAGTTTCTCCTGCTCCAACGTATCGGCAATAGTCTGTTGAAAATCTTTGGTATAGAGGAGCCATTTTTTGATCTCCTCTGTCTGTCTGTTGCATCGGACTGTGATCTCATCTAACAATAAATTGAACTCATTTGAGGTCGTCGTGTTGATGCTCTCGGGGCATTCTAAATCTCATTAGGTTGCAGGTACTCAGAATTTAGACAATGACATACCCTGGATACGGTATTCTTCCATACTGAAGTAGCTTGAAGTGTTAAAGGATGTGGTGAATGAGGAGATGGGATGTAGAGTTGGGGGAAGCAGAGAACAGATGGCTTCCTATATTATAGAGACTAGACAAATAGATGCCATACATTAAGCTTATCTCACTTTTATTTACTTTGTGTGTGATAGTGACCTTGGATACATCAATATTTTGCTATTTGTATCTTCACTCTTCTCATTTCTCATACTTCCCCGTTTTGGACCTGCATGCCGTGATTATCTTAAGTTTAAGATGATATTTGACACCTGCGATCTTAGATATATATTAGAGATCAATTTTTTTTATGTCATGTCTAATAGACCCCGAACCCTGCCATAGATGCTTTGCCACCGTTTTTATATACTTACGGGGACTTCCGTTTTAGGAAGTTAACGGGAGTGGGTCTCCCATTCAGAGTACTTCCAACGTTGATAGGACCCAAAGGTCAAACATGGAAGAGCAACAAAGATATAAAGACCTTCTCGATCTCAATTTTCTCTTCTCGTTCAAAAATATTCTAATATCAAGCAAAATGGCCTCACACAACGCCCACCCTTCCACCAATGCGCTGCATGCAGACGATACCTTAAATCAAGTGACCGACGTCGCACCCCCAATCCATCTCTCTACAACCTTCCGATACCCCAATGATCCAGATCAACTCATCCTATCCGAAGATCCGGTAGTACGTCTCAAACCAACTCACAGACATCCATACTCGCAACTAACAAGCCCATCCAGGATGAATTCAACGGCAAGAACTATGTCTATTCCCGCGAATTCGCTCCCAACGCAACTCGCTTCGAGGCAGTGCTCTCATCCCTAATAGGCGGGCACGCAGTGAGCTACTCAACAGGTCTAGCCGCCCTACACGCCGCTATAACACTGCTCAACCCGCGCCACATCTCCGTTGGTAAGGGATACCACGGCAGCCACGAAGTCATCGCGGTAGTATCGCGTCTGTCTGGGCTACAGAAGCTCGCTCTCGACTGTCCCGCTGACAACCTAGGTCCCGGCGATGTCATCCTATTAGAGACGCCTGTCAACCCGTTTGGGACGGCATTCAGCATCGAGGAATACGCGCGCAAGGCCCACTCCCGCGGCGCATTCCTCATTGTCGATAGTACGTTTGCACCGCCTGGCTTGCAGGATCCGTTCCTGTGGGGTGCGGATATCGTCATGCATTCAGGATCCAAGTATTTCGGTGGACATAGCGATTTGCTTTGCGGGGTGCTTGCTACGAAACGCGCTGATTGGACGAAGCGGTTGTTTGAGGATAGGATCGCGCTTGGGAGTGTGATGGGGAATATGGAGAGTTGGCTTGGTATCCGGAGTCTGCGAACGCTGGAGGTCCGGGTTCAGCGGGCGAGCCAGAATTCAGCAAGGCTGATTTCTTGGCTTCATGGTGCTATGCAAGCCTCGTCTCCTGCTGACGGTAGTGAGGAGATGGTTGTTCAGTCGATTGTACAGAAGATTCACCATGCTAGTTTGCAGGATCAGCCGTGGTTGCAGAAGCAGATGCCTAATGGGTTTGGCCCTGTCTTCTCTATTGTCCTGCACAGTGAGCAGTTTGCGAAGGTTTTGCCGACTAAGCTTCACTTCTTCCAGCATGCTACCAGTCTAGGCGGGGTTGAGTCTTTGATTGAGTGGCGGGCTTTGTCGGATTCAAGGATTGACCGGAAGCTGCTGAGAGTTAGTGTTGGGCTGGAGAACTGGGAAGATCTGAAGGATGACTTGCTGCAGGCATTCAAATTGCTTTTGGGATAAAGCTAGGTTAATCTCATATTTTTGTGTGAGATCATATGAAAATATGTTGGTTATATTCAATGTTTAGTATATTAAATCAGAAGACAGTCACGACCCAAATGACCAATATCAAATATCCACCGCGATGGAGTTTCCAAGCCTTCTTCCTGGTCCCAATAATCTTTCAGGATCTTCGCTGCATTGATAACATTCAAACAGCTCGTAGCAGTCCAAAATTTCTCTAAAGATTCAACCAAAAAGTTCTTCTGGGCCTGAGACCGACACTCCAAGCCCGCCACGAAAATAGCCCACAAAACACATTTAAAAAGCGACTCGTCATCTTTCAAAATATCAATCAGACCCAGCAGCTCAGAGACCAAATCGTCCTGCATAGTGGTTGTTTCCGTGAGTGCATCAAGAATGCGTCTCCCATATAGCAAAGTCCCGATTTTGAACGCCTGTGATAATGTGCAGAGATTATTGATTTCGTCCAGGGAAGACTGTCTCGAATTTTGAAGGCTCGAAGCCCAGGCGTAACTGTCAAAGTTTTGGATAAGTTCCATCATCGCGGTGGTATCTTGTATATGTGTTTGGAGAGCAGAACCGTCCGGTAGCTGGCCTGCGACGGCGTCCCTTTCGTTGGAGAGAAATTGTATTGCCGACAACAGGAACTCTGGACATCCAAGGAAAGATTGTTCAATTTCCTCCTGTGGTTTGCTCTCTGCTTGGCCGTCAAATATGAATTCTGACAGTAGCTTCGGTCGTAAAAATGTTGCTCCCAGTGTTTCAATTCTATTTTGTAATGGATCAGTCTCTCGCATAGCTTTATAACATCCACCAGGCTTAGTATAACTCACAAATGAATCTGGCTGGAGATAAAACCCCAGATCTGCTGGACCGTCTGGCCAGGTCCATTATTAACTCCAGCTTGCGCCTCTAGCAGCGGCCGGTGTGATGTAATCAAACTCTTAGCACCTTCAAGATGGAAATTCCAACCTTCACTTCCAGATTCGAGGAGATCCAGAAAGATAAGAAGAAATATGCTAGCGACTGTTGTGTCGCTTTGCTCTGTTCTTCTGTCACCAAGTGCCCTTGAGAGAGCTTCCATGGCTTGATGCTTGAACAGTAGCGCATCGCGATTGGCATTAACAAGATCAGCGGATGTCGGAGCTTGAATTTGATGAAACGGCTGGCCTGTATTGGCATGGTGCCGCGCCGCGAGAGCAAGTATGCCCTTCTGTAAGACCGGGTCATTCAATCCAAAGGAGATCAAACTCCGAAATGGATTTCTGGGGCTGTCGTATACAATGAATAATTTGCATATGCGTTCGTTATCTAAATGCGATGTCAGCTATTAAGATCCTGGTGTTAGAGCTTTGCATGCGGGTCTTACAGTAGTCTATATAATATTTCGAGGTTTGATCCAGGTTTGACATGGACGGGTCTTGCAAGGTACTCGGAAGGGCTCTACTGCCCGTAGAAGCTTGGACCAGCGCGCGAGACGACTTCTTCGGTTTTGATAGAGCGGATTTGGTATTTTTAGAAATTTTCACAGGAGTGCCATCTGCCATAGCCTCATATGAATGGCCTTGCATCTTTCCACGAATGGCCACGCCCTTCACCCACCTCAGAGGTCTTTTGTCGAAGCATTCCATCCCAGCCTTCTCGCACTTGTCGCATGGCGTTCCGGACTGGTCGCATTGAATGCGGCGGTTGCGACATGTCCAGCATGGACCGCATACTGTCTCCATTTGGATATGGCATAGGGAATATGGAATGTGGCGAAGAAAGGTATAAGATTCGCGGTCCACTCCAAGAGCTTGAAGATTTGCTGACTGAGCAGGCCGGCTATACCCGTGGCGTGGACCCGTCAACGGCAACCTTTTGTGGCCATCACGACAATACGCATTCAAACTGGGTATTTAAACTCAACTTCACAAATTTTGCTCATATTCTGCGTCTATTATTTAAAAACACAAGGCACAACATCGAAAAAAGTGACTAAAAGTGTTCTTTCACATGCCAAAATTTATTCCAAGATTAGAGGTAATTATAGACCCCACTAGTTAACAGGGCTAGTCAGCCCTTAAAAGTGCCCAAGTGGTTACGCCTTCTTACTATGCCGATATAGATTTTTGCTTTCTCTTCCATTCTTAATTTGATATATGTATGTAATATGGCCCTGATATATATATCCCCTCTAATTGTTAACTCAAACAGCTTCAAGATCATATTGCACCATGTATATGGTAATAGACAGTTGAATCCAACCCTACTAGTTCGGAACAATATATCCACCAGAATACCAGACCAGAAGCTAAATTGGGTATGTTGGACAGCCCTGAGCGGAAGAACAACCAAAGCTACGGTGCTCAATTTGACTACTGGATAGGAGTCCAGCAAAGTTGATCAGAAAGATACACCATTGAAGGCCTCATAAAAAAGCAAAAGATGGATATGGCTGGCTGAAGTATTCACACCACACCATAGAGGTCCAGGGACAGCGGGGGGTTCTCAGAGTCACATTTGACGAGTCTCGACAAGATTAGTAACGGAGTGACCGACCTATCTGAGACATGTAAGACCCAAAGAAACAGATTTGCCGCAACCCACCAGTCCCCGAATTGCTGTAAGCAATGCGGGCCCGACAGCTAGGGAGAGGAACCAGGCACCGTCGAGCCAATCAAACATGACACACAGCAAAATCGAACCAAAGAATGCGAGAGAGCAAGCCACTAGAGCACACGATGTCTCCAATTTGGGGGCCGAAGAGCGGTCCGTGAGAAGTAGGAAGAGAGAAGCTTACTGTCTAGTTAAAATTGGTGTACAGATTTAGAACATTTAGTCTGTTTAGTCGATTTGGCCCCATTTTAATTGGCCGGCCCACTACCCATTGAGCCACGCTGATTGGTCTGCTCGGTTCCTGACATCATTGGCGTGGGATTCTGTTGTCGCTATTCCTATTTAGGAAGAATATCACAACTGTAGGGTTGATTTTAGCAATCCCTTCGCGTTTCAGTGTTGCTTAGCCGTAGATGGGAGGGTTTAGCGTGCTGGGTATGCTTTATTTATATAGCTGTCAGAGTTCGCACACTAAGTGCAATCTACTGTTTCTTATCTCTTTCTATAAACCAATTCCTCCCTCGCAAGAATTACTTCGAACCGACATTTGCATACACCAACAAAGAAGAATCTGGCATTCACACCTTCTGACTACAGTGCGTGTTTATCCTGCCCCACAATATGCCCCCTATGTTTAATATCTAACAAGACCCTTTATCTTCTACAGTCTCTTTAAACCACAATGCCTATCATCCCACCCACGATAGAGACAACAACTACACAAACATCCATAATGGATAACGCAGCAAGCTTGCTGAAGCGCAGCAGCATGACCAACCCGGACAAATACCCCCTCTACATCTTCCTCATCATCGCCGGATGCATTGTAGGAGGACTCATCGGGTTCAGTGTATACACAATGTTCCACGGTCTCGACGACTCAGAATATATGAAGGACGTGTCACACGAGCAACGGACTTATATGCGCGAGACCAGACAGCGGTATTTGAATATGTTGGCTCGTGAGGCGGGGAGACCTGACATGATTGTTCCTATCAGGGGAATGGATGCTTGAATGTATTGGGTTTGGCGTTTGGGATGGGGATATATCTGCATCTGGATCGAGGGCAATGATTTGTTCGATCTCTAGTTGGGTATCAGCATTTGGGTTTGATGTATAATATATGTGAGCAACTGGCAATTATGATGCATGTACATTTGAACAACCTTTCTTTGTGTTTCTCACAGCGACTTAATTAATGAATCTGGCGGAACAATTTAAAACCAAGGTCTCCCAGGGCCTCAATAGCGTTGACGCGTTAGAGGGCCTGCTAGGCCGTGTAGTCAGGCTTGAACAAACGGCAGTAGAAAGAATCGAGAATCTGGTTGTCCGCGCGAAGAGCAAACCCTCTTTGTAGTCTTTAATAGTATATATAGTGCTGTCCACACTTATAAGCGAGATACAACAAGGAGAAGAAGGCTTGCTCTTATTTATGTCTTCGTCGCCCTCCCCATATCCACTGATCGTCTCTTGTAACACCCGCTAGTCTAGATGTAGTTTCGTATAATTTCAAGGTTACAGTCTACTACTATTTAGGAATTGCTCTTTCGTAATGATTCTCATGCCTGTCGACGTCTGTCTCGTTCTATCTGCTTTTGCAAACGTGATTCATTTCGTCACGTCCGGTCCCGCGCACATTTCCTATCTAATAGGCCAATTTATTTGTAACTAAAAGCTAGATTTATTCCAAAATATATGGGATATTCATAAATGATATCTTGATCTCACATTGAACCCATCGATAAGAAACTCGTTTCGCGACGAAACGATGCTTTGGACCGCGTTCAGTTATGGCCGTACTCTAGAAAACACAGTCATTATAGTCGACATTGTTGCAAAAGGATAGCATGATGACTCGATTGTCATATGTCGAGAAATAAGCTTGTGAATTGCTATCAAATGCTGAAACAGCCAATGATCGGTGGTTAGCACAGCTAGCGAGGTTACAACATATGCTTGGGTAGATCGTTGACGCTGTGGATTCTACTGCAAATCCGGTATGAGGGGATTAGTTAGCAATCCTAGGACCTATCACCGTAGTTGTAGATATAAGTACATAGTTCTGATTTGGTTGACGCCCGAGGGAGAGCCAACTCCCTGGGACGTGATTTGCGGCTGAAGGGGAGCTCAGCCTCACTAGTCCAACCAGAAATCATTTTGATGCCCTGGCAACGAACACCTATGTTGTAGGTACCTGATAAGTAGGTAGGTAGGTACTCCAGGGTGCCTCAGCCGCCACGTCAATCTCTAGAATGATTGGTGTTTAGTGGAGCTGCCCCCATTTTATCCGTTCGCCCCGCACAGCCTGATTCTAACCTACTGACTGGGTAATTTAAACTCAAATACCGAAGTGAGAGTAAGATTAAGGTGAGAGTAAAGTGCAAATAAAGCTATTGGACGGTGGCGCGAAAAGCGGTTGAGGAAAAGTCTAGAAATCAGGGAGGTGAGGGGGACCTAGTGTCCAAGGCAGTTCCCTTTAGCGCCCCGAAATCAGTTTGACTTACACCGTTTTCTCCCATCTTGTCCCATGCGAACTCTACTTTAAATATTTCTCCAAAGCTCAACGACCTCGAGATTGGACTTCCTAAAAAGGTCACCAAAATGCGTTGGCAAATTTGCCAGTTCGAGAGAAAGAAGAAGACGACGACGGATGAGGTAGTGAAAGCAGCTTCAAAGACCTCGGGAGCTAGGCCTATGCTGACTGGTGCCCTCTTTGCAGCCATCTCCTCGCTATGCGCATCCAGATTCTGATGCTCCCACAGTGTTCAACAACGAACAAACAGGAGCCCCATCACAATATACAAAAGCAAGTCTCCAGTCTACCTCAGGAAGGCAGTCATTGGGCATCAGTCAGAGGCTTCCGGGTAAAAACTCTCCAAAGAAAGTCCTTGCTAAGCAAGAGCAGACCGCAGAGCAAGAGCCAGCCCCCAACAAAGACCCAGCCGCGGAGCAAAAGCTTACCCCCGCGCAAGAACGAGTCGATCGGCTAAAACACTTGGAAAACTCAAATCTCAATGCGGGTCTTTGGAAAGAAGCGCGGAAAGAATTGGATGAAGATGATTTAAATCGGTTGGAACAGTTTATCAGTCTTGGTGATGGAAATCTCCAGGGAGCCGTCGTGGAAAGACTGAAAACCATCACTGAATCCCGATTGAAGATTGAGGTCAACGGAAAGAAGCACAACGTGAGAGAGGGAGCCCAAAAGGTTTTAAACACATTGCGCAGGTTCGAACCTGTTATCAAAGCAGCAACAGCGGCGGACTCCCATGCCAGCCTTGCTTGGGGTGGTATCTCTGCTTTCCTACCAGTATGTCATTGGCAATCTTTTTGGCAATATTTAAAATTATTGCTCACAAAGCTCTAGCTTCTCTCTACTGCCTTATGTCAGACAGACAATGCTCTCACTGAGTTGGAAGTCATATCCAACATACTAGTTAAATTCCGTGCGATTGAGGTCTTCTGTGATCTGTCAGAATGGAACTCCGCAGAACCTAGTCATATCCGTGATTGCTATACCATGCTGAGGTCGAAAACTATCGAGCTTTATACGGAAATTCTTAAGCACCAAATTGTTCTCATGCGTCATTATGAGATGAATCGGTTCTCTCGCATGGCCAAGAACATGACCCTGCAGCCAATTGGGGACTTTTCGGCTATCCAGACCTTAGAACACGCTGCGGAGGAGTTCTTGAAAACTATTGACAGTAGCGCTATTCATGGCATTGATACAGCGCTCACCTTGATTGGAAACAGAGTTGATGAGCTGTTTGACTTGGCGCAAAAGAGTTACCACACTATTCTGGTAGGAGATCACTCGCTGAGTTGATTCAATATCTAAAAGTTAACAACATCATAGGAAGTTGCTGAAAGGCAGCTCCTCGAGAAGCTCCCAAAGGCAGAGAGTGCAAATTTTGACAGTGCGTTTGATGGTTTCAAGCTTCCTCGGTGTCTTGAAGGCACCCGTCAGGAAGTGCTGGACAAGTTCCGCCACTGGGCAAAGTGTACAGACGCAGAAAACTGTGTATTTTGGCTAAGTGGAATGGCTGGCACAGGCAAGTCAACGATCGCCCGCACCTTTGCTCATGAGCTCAAGGATGAAGGTCGCCTCGGTGCTAGCTTTTTCTTTTCGAGGGGCCAAGAGGATCTGTCTCGAGCAGGAAAGTTTTTCCCAACCCTTGCCCTTGGTCTGGCAAAAGAGGTTGCTGGTTTCGCAAAATGTCTGTATGAAAGCGTTCGCAGAAATGGAGGTGCTGAGGGTAAAGACTTCGAAGAGCAATGGAAGTTTTTTATACATGATCCTCTTGAGGATCTAGGCTCATCTTTACTCGCACCTCTCCAACTGGTGCTTGTGATAGATGCACTTGACGAGTGTAAAGGTGCCGAGGCTGTTCCCCACCTCATCGACTTACTCCTGGCGGCCAAAGACCTGAAAACGATTCAACTCAGAGTCCTTGTTACTAGCCGGAATGAAACACACATTTTGGAAAGCTTCGAAGGAAAATCTAGTTTCACTTGGCTGTCATTGGAGGATGAATCCATCGCCGACAGCACCGAACGTGATATTTCTATCTACGTGAAGCATGAGCTTTCTGGGCTTTCCGGGATTGTGAGACGGAAATACGGCACCGAGAATTGGCCAGAGGAAGTACAAACACAGAGGCTATTAGAATTCAGTGGAAGATTGTTTATTGCGGCAGCTACCGTATGTCGGCATCTGAAGAGCAGCAGCATTCCGCGGGAAAGGCTTGAAACTTTTCTCGAGGCCGCTAGGACAACAAAACATGGAATACCTGCCCTGGACAAAATGTATCGCCTTATTCTTGACCCGTTGCTTACTGAGGGTCCGGATTAAGAAGAAATCAATGAGAATTACAAGCCCGTTGTGGGAGCAATACTTGTTTCCAAGAAACCAATATCGGTGTCTGAAATGGCAGTGCTTTTCAATCTCAGCCACCAAAATATTAATTTGGTACTTGAGAAACTGACTTCTTTCTTAATTGTTCCCCAGAGCAACACTAACCCTGTTCGACTCTACCATCTCTCTTTCCGTGATTTCCTTATCAACAAAAAGAGGTGTGGAGATGAAAGAATGTTTATAGATGAAGACGAAGCCCATAGAAGGTGGTTTCACTACTGCTTGGAACATCTTTCAACTTCACTGAAAAAGGATATTTGCGGGCTCAAGCATCCAGGGACGCTTTACTCTGAAGTTGAACGCGACATGGTCATTCAGCACATTCCTCGCACCGTCCAGTATGGCTGCCAATATTGGGCTCTCCATTTGAGAGACACGAACATCTCCTCACCAGGAACGACTGAGGTAATAAAGACCTTAAAATTCATCACTACCCATCTTCTGCATTGGATTGAGGCCCTCGCTATGATTGGAAGAATTGATGACGCAGTTACTGGTATTGTGAATTTGAAGATTGTCGCATCAGTAAGTCATATCACACCTTACTCCTAGCAGGATTACTATCTCACATTCGATAGACTTCAGGGGAGCAGGAGTTCGAAAAATTTGCCAACGATGCCCATCGCTTCATCCTCTACCATAGACAGGTCATTGAGAAAGCACCCCTTCAAGTTTACTATACGGCGTCTGTTTTCTCCCCAACGGAGAGTGTAGTGCGAAACACTTTTTTGGAGCACTATCCGGCATGGATACGAAAGGCCCCCAACACGGGAAGCCATTGGAGTGCAGAGGAGCAAATTTTACAATGTGGATCATCAGTCGTCATGTCAGCAATATCCTTTGACGGCCAGATGGCCGCTTGTGCGGCCAAAGATACTATCACTGTATGGGATGTCGTCACCGGAAAGTTAAAGCATACATTCACATGGGAATGTCCCAATTTTGGTTTTGGCGGTTTTTTGATCTTCTCTCCTGATGGACATGAGTTGACTGCTTTCATTGCATCCGAAACGCCATCCAGAAGAAAGCGGGAAGTTTGGAGTCTCATAACAGGAAAACAAATTGCAGCGTTGAAGGATAATGGGTCCCATTTGCCTTCATTGTGTGACTTAAGCAGCTGGTCATGGAAGCCTAGCTGTGGTGATCGACAGGAGAGAGTTTCCTTCGAAGTTGGCATCGACAATTTGGAATCGAATTTGGAATCGACTTGGAATTTCGATTGGGGATTTGATTTGGAAATTGGTTTGGAACACACCATATCTGCCGATGGCACAACAATGGCTCTCTTTGAAAATAGGTGTGTCCACATTGGCAACACGCAAACAAGGCAAATCATCTGCACCTTGAACTGCTACTCGGTGATAGATGGAATCGCGCTCTCGGCTACCAGGGCTGCCATCTTACTATACCATGGTATAAAGATATGGGACATTGCCAATAACTGCCCGGTTGAGGGTCAAATCCGTGGGGAACAGGCTCCGAGGAATTTCGCTTTATCTTCCGATGGAACAAGGCTAGCCTGCGCATCTTCGAGGACGGTGGAGATATGGAACCTTGATTTCATGCGGATAGAGCACGTCATGGAAATTCCACATACGAATATAATTTCGTCTATTGCGTTATTTCCTTGCGCAACAAAGGTTATGGTTGGTTTGCAACAATTCGGGGGGGCGCTAGTTTGGAACATCCAACAGCGAAGTGTCTCGAGCGGGTCGAGCGCGTCTGATGCTCCTGCCTCGAAGGATCCGTTCTTCCTCAGCAAAGATGGAATCAAACTGGCTATCGGGCAAATTGGATCCAGGAAATACTGGGATCTTATCAAAGATGAGCTTATCTTGGAGCCCCAAGCTCTGCTACAGGATGGAGCCATGTCGTTCGATGGGTTCGATGGGGAAAAGAATCACGATGAAACAGAAGAGTGGAGGCAACGTCACCTAGGCGAAAAGTACAAATACAAAGCACTGCGCTTTTCTTCCGACAAAACTCGTATCTTGATTTTTTCATTCGAGAGTCACAGTTACGGCTTCGAAGTTATGTCCACGGTGAATGCACGGTGTGAGTTCGCAAGACATCGGCCTTGCGTGAACGCGAAGATTTGCAACGCATGTTTGTCTCATAATTCGACAAAGGTGGCACTGAGGTTTCCGAATAGGATCGAGGTGTGGGACATGAATAGTGAGGACAGGAAAGAATTCAAGGGCCATAAAGCCAGTCCAGTATGCATGGCGTTTTCACCCAAAGACACAAGAATAGCAATCGGCTGGGAAGACAACATCGTTTCGATCTATAACATCGCCACTGGTGAGACTGAGCAAAAACTACAAGCTTCACCCGCACTGGTCTTTAGCCTCCGTTTCTCCCCTGATGACTTGTTGGTCGAGGAGCCTTTATATACCGTTGACCGCTCTGTTGAGTGGATCACTCACAACCAGAAAAGGGTTCTGGCTCTTCCTAGTAATCTCCATGGACAGCTAGTTTATGCGAGGCAGCATTCTCCCTACCTTGTTGAACATCGGGCTAATTCTTTGGCCTATCGCACTGAAAGTGGCCGCCTTGCGGCTTTCGTTTTCGAACACGCGATAGAAATCGCGATTTGAAATAGTTCCAGACCATTCAATGCACCTTACTCGGCCACTCGTGCTCAACCATTTCTCTCTTTATTTTATAAGGTTGGAATAAGCACCCCGATCGGGTTTCCGTATTGCCTGATTTTTGCCTCCTAAAGTCAGACATGGTTTCCATCAGAGTGTTTTGTATACGAATGAGAAAGAAGTGAGAGAATAGGAGAGAAGTGAGAGAATAGTAAGGAACGAGTCAAGCATTGTGGGTGAGTGACCCATACTTTTTATCATCTATAAATTGTAATGTAGATACTTCTTCCCTGCGGTTCATAGCATGGATAAGCTTGTGCTTTGAAGGGACTACCAAGGGACGACAGTTTTCAGAATGTGATATCGAGGTGTCAAGTCGCATCTTCCATCATGCTAAAGATCGTGCTCATCTTCTCGTGAAACCGAATAAAACCTGCTTGCAGTCTTTCAATAGTAGGGGAACTTCGCCTGCTTCGAATGACCTCGTGATATATCGGGAAAAAAGACAATTTCAATGTTTGTTTATATTCAATTTACCAAGTATTGGAAGGACAGTGCGGTGCTTGATCCGAAGAATCAAAGCGAGGATGAATGGGGATGGGGTGTTCTGTATAATCAGATCTCAAAAGATCTCAGGAGTAAGGATTGACGAATTAAAGAACAAACACTATTTTCCCAACGTCCAACCAAAAAAGACCCGGTTGGTTTCAGCAACCAGCCAACATACATAACCAAAAAAACAAACCACTGCGTACCAGAAGCAACAAAAAGGGATGTTCAACAAGCTGAAAAAAGAGCAATGCTGAGGAGCAAAGGGATATAAATGTCATGAAGCAGAGTGAAAAAAAAGTCCAACGTTGAGCGTCGTCAAGAAAGGGCATCCAAGGGATGGGAAGAATCATAAAAGGGGGGATTATGTAGAAGAAGAATTAAAAAAAATGTGAAAGAAGCAAAGCAATATTAGATGCCTGCGGGCAAATATAGCGCAGAAAGGATGCCCCAAGGTGGTATCTATACACACCACGTACATATATGCAATATTGTACGGTCAATATAGCTGAATCAGTGGGAGCTGATTTAGATGTTCACGACCATGGCGGCAATGGCGCCAAAGGCCAGGGTCAGCATAGAGACGGTGGCGCTGGTAGCACCGCCAGTGGCAGAAGATGTGGACGCCGCGGCAGCGGCAGCGGTCGTCTTGGAGGCCGCTTGGATATCAGCAGAACCGGTCAGAACGTGCGGCTGGTAGGTATAGCTTAGTGTCGAGCTCGACTTGGGCAGGCGGGCGCTGGGGCTAGTGATGCTCAACACGGAATTCGTGGTGGAGGCGGAGCTAGCAGTAGAGGTGGAGCTGGAGGTGGAGCTGGAGGTAGAGGTGGGAGTGGGAGTTGAGGTTGAAGTCGATGAAGGAGTAGAGGTGGAGGTGGAGGTGGGGGTCTCAGTGGTGCTGGTGCTGGTCGGAGTAGGAGTGGGGGTCGAGGTGGAGGTGGAGGTGCTAGTGCTAGTGCTGGAGCTGGAGCTGGAGCTGGAGGTGCTAGTAGGGGTAGCAGTGCTAGTGGAAACCTCGATGGTCTCGGACGATGTGCTGCCGTTGCTCTCCTTCTCGAAGACAATAATGTGTGCGGTTTCGCCCTTGGGGATGGTCACGACACAGCCGGTGGCGCCACCAGCGCCAGTAAAGGGCTTACCGATCATCTCGTTGACATTGTTGACAGCAGGGTCGATCTTGCAGGGCAGGCCGTGGCAGCCGTCACCCTCACATTCAATCTCGATACCGAAGTCAGGCATGACATTGCGGAAGGGTGTGGCGGGTTCCAGATAGATAGGGTTCCAGCCAATCTTCAGGAAGGTATTGCCATCGGTGTCGGTGTTGGCGCCAGCGGTGTACGGGGACCAGTTACCGACAGGGTTCTCGGAGGTACCCCAGATACAGCCTTCCTCCGCGGTGACACCAGGAGCGTTGATGTAGTACTGGGCAGCAGTGGAGCACCAGTAGGACATGCCGGGCACGGCCAGATCGGCCAGTGAATCAACCATGGTGGGGATAAGCATAGCCTCGTTTCCGGGCAGCACCGTCTGGCAGAAAGAGACAGACTTTCCGGCCTTGTTGTGGGCCTTGAGAACACCAGTGGCCGACTCACAGTAGTCACGGTTGGGGAAGGGTTTGTGGATTTTGCCGTCATCGTCACAGTATAGACCGCCCCTCATAGACATAGGGTAAGAGTAGGAAGTCGCCTTTGGATCCCACTGCATGGACACTTGACCGGGAGGGCAGGCGTAAGGGCAGTAGTTGCCAGGTTCGCAGGGCTCGTCGGGGCTCATAGCCCAGCCAGCGTTTTGCTCATTGGGGGTGATCTCAACCAGGCCAGCATCGGAAGGGAACTCGCATTTCCCACTCCTCTTTGCCAAAGCCACATGATTATGGCTCTGGCCATGGCCGTGTTTTGCGGCTTCAACGCTCGCAATGAGGGCGACAAGCGCGGCTGCGCGGAAAGATGTGATCTGGAACTTCATTGTGTCAGGGGGAAAGACTTGGCAAATTGATAATATCAATAAACGAATGAATATATGAAGCGAATGGCTAAGTCAAACGAGTGACAAAAAGATACGGCCGATGGCCAAGGACAGACACAGTGCTCACAGGGAATGAAGGTCAAGACGAGAGAAAGGAAAGAGACGGGGAAAAGCCCCCAAGAAAAGAGACACGGCCACTAGTGAGCAGGGTCCTGGGTCAGGTCCACGAGTGTGCTAGGCTAGAAAAGCGTTAGATCTGGGATGATCTGCATACAATTCCAGCACAGGGCAAACTTCCGCAGTAGTTCCGACTTTCATGGACGGCTCGTCCGTGATTTCCCATAATTTCCATAATTGCTCCCCCGGAACGGGAATTATGGGAGTCGCCTTGGACCCCGAAAGCTGTGCCCCTGAAGCAAACTCCACTAGTGGACAGCCACATGGAACCACTAGACACCTAGTGTCAGGGGCAATGATAGCCTGCAGCCAATGATGAGCGCCATTACCCCGATGGTTCCTGCTTGGCAGGGGGTGCAAGGCCAATAAGCTAAGAGATATGGTTTTATGGAGTTATCTCCCGAACTCTTTCAACGGCGAAAAAGCAAATTGTAATTTCACAAATGAGAGCAGAAAGGTGGAGAGTGGAGGAACGCGTTGCTCGGCGCAACCTTTGAGAACCTGGGAGATCGTATCACATGATATCTCAAGAGTCAACCCTCCTTTGAACTTACAACTCTCCATTACAATAAATCAATAAATGTTTGGAAAAACAAATCAAGTCAACCCAGAATGCATCGTACGTTGGCTATACGCGCATTAAAAGGTGATAACTCCACCGAAGCACATGAATGGGAAAACCAGGCTAATAGTCCCAAGCGGAATATATTGCTCCTTTAGCCTGGTAGCACGTCAATCCCAATCAAACCCACCACAATATTCCGGTCTGGACCTGTTGATCATTAGTGGATTCTTGCTTTTCTTTGATAGGCACGGAATCACATGGCCAAGATATCCGAAGTCTTAGAACGTGTTGTCTTGACTATCAATGTGTCTCTTGATGTCTTGGTTAAAGCTTGGCCTAGGAGAATATGGGGTTTGTTGATGGCATAGCAAGGGATCAACATGATCACCGCTGTGATAAATTTAATCACCTACTCCATCAAATGCTATGCACAAGACGCGCCAGAGTTGCGCAAATTGTAATAAATGGTAGGAATATCAATGCAAGAAGCATGGAGCTGATTTAGTACGTGATGCAGGTGTCGAATGTCGGCATGTAAAATGGGCTGGGCCAATTATATGAGACTATTCAAGTTTCCCGGGCCTACACCGTCAAGGACAAAGACTATATAGACACTCTTCGTTATTCTATCTCAGACTTTGATTTGTGATGAGCTATTTGTCGGATAGTCCAGTAGCCCTAAAATGGTAGCGATCCTTGCGTCGGCTGATCACATACAGCTGCAACTGGTGCTGGGACTGGAAATCAAGAAAGGCAATGCATCACGCAGGATAGACAGGAAGTCTCTTTTGAGTTTGCTGCAAGGACTGTTGATGTTCCTCGCATAGTGAGTATCCACTCAGCCTATTACTTAGGTTTCGCGGGGCCCCAGTGCATCTAACAATATATGACAGGTCAGTCACATTGGCACGGTCACACCCTTATATGGTATACTCAATCCCTCTGGCGGGTGATAAGCCTTATAGGTCTGCGGTTGGACTAGGGAAGATAAGGTTGCATTTTAGACTTCAATATAGTAATATCCAGAACCTAGTCAGTCTTGCTCACTAGTTTAAAAAGTGATTTAGCGGCACTACGTCGCCGTCTAAATTTGCTCTATAGATACTGCATATAGATACTACATCGTATTGGGCAGGGCTTCTTGCCCCAAAGGTATTCTAGATTGTATTTCCAGACATTCATCATAACCTTTCGTTATAGAGCTATATCATCAGACATCAAATATTCACAAATGAAGCTACTCGCCATGCTGACCCTCGAGGTCCTTCCACCCAGAAAAAGCCGGGACATCATGGCGGTCTCTCCATCCCCAAGCAATGCAATAATGCCGTGCAAGCAACTGCCACTCCTCCATCTCATCGAGCATCTCCAGTCCAGCAACTCTTTCTTTCTCATCCTCGTTAACCCACCGCTTCCAGATAAACTCAATATCAGCCGCAGCCTGGCCATCTCCAAAGCCCTGATCTTGAAAGCGGCCTCTCTGCGCCTCGAGCGACGCATACGTAGGGAGAGTCTTGAGTTGGATCCCCCGCGCCGCAAGGTTCGATACCATCGTACGACCGAAGGCATCATTCGGTCGAATAGGCTCATAAAGAATCAGCCCGAGCGGAGCAACACTCGGCTGCGCCGCCTGTAAGACGTCTCCAGACCCAGATACTGGGTTCCCATGACCAAAAAGGCGTTGCGTGAAGAACGCAACCACCTGCTCCGCTTCAAGGGGCGATAGATAGACCAAACAGCACTCAGATAT